GTGTGTGTGTGTGTGTGTGTGTGTGTGTGTCTCTCTCTCTCTCTCTTTCTATTTGCCTCTTCTTAACTCGAATCGATCGTTTCGTTGTAGAGACATTCGGTCGTGGATTTATTTCGCGGAACAATCGGTAACAAGGCAGAGCATCGATGACACTGACTTTCGATGGAGGGATGAATTATCGGAGAAACCGGAGGACCGGGAGAACGTTAGGTCATCGTGAGGAAATATGAATCGGTCGTTATTCTCTATGGTCGTCGCCGCATCGCTACCGATGCGCGTGAAAGTTTAAATGAAAAGGGCGAAATATCAATTAAAACACAGCCGGAAATAAGGCATTGTTAAATGCATAACGTATCCGGAGTCCATAGACTCTTAGTTATAACATAATAGCGCTATCCCACTTAAAAAATCTAGAGCAGCCTGAACGTCTGCAACGCTACAGTAATCCCAATATATCATAGAAATACGCAATTTTTTTACCTAACTATATATCCCGAATCGGGCGAAATTGGATTCCGTTCGGGCTATAATAATCTACTTAAGATTTTTTTTCATCGGAGAGAGATGCAGCTATTCAAAACAAAATCCCGAATCAAATCCCAAATTTTCCTCTGCAACGAACCAACCTGTTGATGATCAATTTACAGACCAAGAATATTCGGCGATGAATATTCACGTTCTTCTGGGAAGAACGACGGGATAAATATGAAATATTACTAAGGCGACGAAAGAAATGCGAAGAAAGAATGAATTTCTTTCTCATCTCTTTATCAAGATCTAATCTTTGTGAATCTTTGTGAAGCTTTGACAGTTTGCAAAGTTTCCTTTCTCTTTCTCTCTCTCGTTACTCTTTCTCTTTTTTTTCCCTGAAACAATTTATAACGAAGGTCTCTCTTTGCTAAGCGGTATATTAACCACCCTCTTCCGACTTAACGCATCGCTACTCGCGCGAGTTTATTATTAAATATAACATTCTTTCTTTTTTTAATATTTTTTCGATATTTCTTCGGATGTAGTCAAATATCTATGAATATATCTATATTGAATTTTTTTCATCATAGGAATTTTTTTCCATCATTTTTAATTATTAATTATAGATGCTATCGATTACAAAAAAATCTTTTATCCAACTTTGATACAAGATTAGGTGTTTCGTATAGATATTCAAATATTAAAAATGAAACTAATATTTGAGTTTATGTTACATCAAGTTACATTTCAGAATTTCAAAAATAACATGTTATGAAGTTTATGAAAAAATATGCAAAAGCATTTAATACAAATTTATTGTATGCATATACTTTATTGCATATAAAAATGCACTATACTGATCATATCAGAAAATTACGAACATTCCGAAATTGATTTTTCTTATTTTATTTCGATGAAATGCTTGTTTACAGTTTTTTCGATCTTTATTCGAATATAATTAATTATACTCTTATATACCTTTGTTATATTAAATATGCATTATATTTTTTAGATTTTTTTTAAGGTTGTTTTATGAATTTTGTCTTTGAAATCTTGACATCTTCATTTGGAGACAGATTTCTTTCAAGAATCTATATATGATACACCAAGTCTCATATCAAGGTCAAGAAAAATTTTTCTGTAAATTTTACTATTATCAATCTCTCGAAGTATAAAGAGACATGTATATAAACTAAAATAAAATCAAATAAAAAATAATTTTGAGACACTTGAATGAAAACATAATAAACAAGTGGAAACTCGCAATAGAAATAGCGAAGCGTTAGATCATAGCATCGGTATTAACAATCGTTAATCATGTACTAATACTTCACGCACTTTGTCGTAAATTTTCATTTAGGACAGACGAGAGAGCGTTCGTCAACAAGAATCATCTCCGTTTCAAGATCATCACTCAATTGCATGTGCGCTCTGTGAATGGAAGAGAGGCGGGCGAGTGAAAAGAATCGCGAGCAATCAGGAGTGCGTCACATTTAATTAAACTGAGTAAGATCATGTTTTCCTCTCTCTTATTTACATTTTTTAATCTAAGGTATGTCACTGTGACGATTGTAGAAAACCATTTTCTCGTCGCCAGAATAAGAAGAAAGCGTGAGAGAACGAGAAAAGAGAAGAGGCGAGATTGAGAAAGAAATGAACGAGTAGAGATGATCCTTATCGAGGCAAACGATCAATATCAGAGACAAATCAGGTATGTTCTGGTATATACATGTTGCAGAAATTTCTCAAAATATATCTCAGAACATATCCGAGTGTTATATATCTCGTTATCGTTTCAAAAGCTTAGGACAATAAAACAAAGTAGTAATATCTCCCTCATTAATCATCCTACCACCTGAGTGGATTAGTTCGGACTATGCGCTTTCCTCTTCAGCATGGACCGATCGTTTGGAGCAACTTCTGATTACTTCATCCAAATTGTCACACTACGTCGCGTGGGACTGCTGAGACTGTGGCAGTTTGCTGGAGCTTTTGTGATGACTGGACGTGTGTCTTTCCTGAAAACGACAAATAGAATTGTGACGTCTTGCTCCGTGAAGAAATGCAAAGATGAGCGAAAGTCTTCCGCTAGTAAAAAAGAATAAGCTAATGCGTCACACGATTAAGTATGCCGCGTACATTTCTAGCGTGCTCTCGATGTAATTGAGTCTATTATTTTGAGGACGTTGCGCCGTATTGCGAGTCCAGATTTGAAATATGAAGACGTGGATCTTCTAAGCTGGATCTGACGTGGCGTGTATCAGTCTTCAACAGGATTGTCAAAATAAACGACTCAATTTTCACATTTCCGTGATTAAACGCAGCGCGAATTCGCATCTTCTTTCATTTTTTTTTTTTTGCGAATTCTCATTTCTTTCTATAAGGATTCGATTTCGGACGGATCGATAGGAATGGATGGATTGAGAAAAGTTAAGTATCTCGGGTTCAGCGTGTAAGGTTTTAAGATGAAAAGCATGATGCGTATAAAAACAGATTAATAAATTAATAAATTATTTATAATTCGTAGTGCGAGTGACAAAAGAATGCAGTGGGAGTGTTGGGTCAGGATTTCTGTGGTGGATCCGCTCTTTGCCTTGGACTTGTCCCCTCGTCTATCTTAGGCCAACGTAGCAAAGCGGAGTGAAGCTAAGCGAATCAGTAAAAGCATGTTTGTTTGCGAATTCTACACATGCAATGTTCATTCGTATTGTAAAAAAGTGTAAAGTGTGCGAGCGCATGCTCATACTCGCGCTCATGCCATCATACACGCACGCTCACACACACATACACACACATGACGCATGCACGCACGCACACACATGTCGCAGAACATTACAACGCTATTATAGCGATAATATAATCCAGCGATAACAGCAATATTTTGCTCGTAATAATAGTAGTGGTCGTGATGTACCCTTCACCAAGCGACAAGAACAAATGACATGGGTAACGCCAATTAATCTCATTCCGTTGACTTTTGGTGAACTTGTTTCGCGTGTGATTTGTGTTGGCAATCTCATTGCAATATGGTACTCGTACAATATACTCCTAAGCCGTGATGTTAGTACATATATACTTAAAAAAAGAAAAAAAAGAAAAAAAAGAAAAAGAGATGCGGCGGTACGGTGTGCGATATTGCATATATACATATAATATGTGTGGTATTAAGAAAAAGACAAAATAATCACTAAGGTACGTTTCGTTTGCACAGTACGTTTATTTGGATTGCTTTAATATTTCTTTTTTTTTCTTTTTCATCGACCACGTGACGCGTACGATCCCTGTTGTATAATTCTGTGTGGCTCCCAATTAAGGATCCCAATCGTTCAATTTCTCGATCTGTTTTTCGCGAGCAAACAAGAATGAATATTCAATATTCGTTTCGTTGAAAGGCGTTTTCAATCTACGTTCAAAACTACGTCAACGTTGATCGTTCCTGCGCTCGTCTTTCATTCTTCAAGACAGGTAGCGTACGCGACGAGTGGCGAATATACATCTTTTACAGAATTTACGCAGTGTGTTTCACGCTACACATATATATATTCTTCTATATCTTTTTTTCTTTTGGCGATTTACTTGTATCCTAAAGATTTGTGTTTCTCAATTCATTCGGCGCTCACGCGCGTGAGCTCGCATCTGTACGTGATGTTTTAGAGGCAATGATCACTCTTTTTGGATCGATGCGGCATTCGTCCGTTGACAACAGCATTGCCGATACACCAATTTGACAATTTTCATTAATTCGAAACCTAGATCATTCTATTATGATATACAATAGAGAATCCCATTTTTTCAATTGAAATAAAGGAAAGTACCTCAAAGACTACTAAAAAAATTTTCAAAATTTAAGATTATCAAAAATATCCGCGAAACGCTGGAAACTTATGTACATCTCTAATACATATATGTGTGTGTCACCTATCTCTTTCTCTTTCGTTCTCTCACTCTCTCGCATACTCGCTCACTCCCCTCTCTATCTCTCTCATTGCTACATTACCGTTGCTATCAATCACAGATTCTCTTGTCGAATTTCAGTTATTCTACCTTTAAAAAAAAAAGAAAAAAAATTTTTTGCCATCACTTATTTACTTTGCAGTACACTAAATAATTTTTTAGTTTTACTTTTAAACAAATTTTTTTTTGCTAAAACGCATGATAATTTTAACTACACAAAGATTCTAATATCATTAATTCGATATAAAAATAATAGAATTTTTATCAAGTAAAAATTAATTTTAATTACTAGTTTGAAAATTTATTATGTTAACAAGAAAAGCGATATAGTGATGTATAGAGTGCTCTCTCTATATATATATAATATATTATTTTTCTGTTTGTTTCTTACATTTCTTACGATCACAGAATATAAAAACTAGAGATTGACCTTAGTAATTATTTTGTCTTTCTACTACTGCTCTTTTCAATTATTCTTATGATTGCACTATTTGACTACGCAGTTTCATCACTTTGACTTGCGTTTTCGTCATCGTGCACGATCTCGTTCACACATATTGTCGTAATTTGGCAATAAATCGGGTTACAATCGGCGGAGATCACGTCGCTAGTACATTAATCTTCAATTCACACGATAAATAAGAGAAAAGACGCGCGAGTTTCCTGAGAACAATATCCCATGCAGCATACGAGAGATTTCTTTCTAAAAATCCTCAGCACGGAATTATAAAATATCACATTCCGGAAACGGAACTTTTCATGATGTACCGAATATATATATATATATATATATATATATAATATATTAATATAGACTGTCTTCAATAAATTTGACACACATCCACCTACATATACACGGAGAAAAACCGCGTTTAAAAGTACATATGCCTAAAACTAATCTCGTCCCGTGTAAGCTCCAATAGTTACCGAGAACTAAATATATGTAACATGTCAGAAAAATATTTAATATATATAATTTTATATATATGTATTATAGCTCATACGAAGAAAGGATTGAAGAAAGCGGACGGTGGTAACGAGCAAGTTTTGAACAGAGAAGAGGAGATTTGGAAGCAGAACAGAATATAAACAAGAGAGAGAAATAAGAAAAGAAGTGAAAATGTAAGTGACCAAATTTATAAGTATCAAGACGTAGGGAGAAAACGGTAATTATGTGTATTTAAGTTGTGGACCAATTAAATTGATAGGCAAAGATATTAAGTATAAAACTGATTTAAGTCACAGATGGACAAGATGTTTACACTTGTTCTTTAACAATTTTCTACTAAGCTAAGCTTATCATTGGTCATAAATTTTTAACCCTTTCCCTCCCTAGCTATAGAACTTCATTTTTTTACTTTCCTTATTTTATTATTTTTTAAAAAATTCTTATTATTCAAAGTCCCATCCCCCTAAAATAATTTATAGATGCTACGTAAAAGTTAGGATAAGGATTTAGATTTAATTAAAATGTAGATGTATATCCTCGTAAGCTCGCAGGGATAAGTTTCTATATATACATATATATGTATATATCTTTATACATACATATATACATATATCTATGATAAATTACAAAGATAGCAGATTTGAGTTCACACGGGAAGGAAAAACTATACAATTATACACGCAAAGGATCTCATATCGTGAGATTGTCAGTGCTCTTAATCCTCTGCATTTTGCAAATCAGTCGTTTGCATACGTTAGAACAGCAATGGTAATCGTGACAATATAACAATTAACAATGACACATTCACGATTCCGATATAATATCGCTTTTGCACATTATAAACTATACACATTCTTGTGAACGAGCTCTGTACATGTGAATATACGTATACATAAAATATACACACTCTTAAAAAATATGTTCCGAGCGTAATATATCGGTCGCATATATAATTCAATCCGATACGACGTTTCCTGAGTTAATATTTGTTCCATAAAAGTTTCACATTTCTGTGGTAGATTTAAACAAGATCATTGATTTCGGGCTAACTAATCAAAGTTCGTGCTCCTTGCATTCGACGACGATTCGTGAGCGTAATCTCCCTGGCCGACAAAAGCGTTGCGCGTGTGCATTTCTCGCTATTTCACTAAATCTAAATCCTCACGAGCAATAGTCTTCCGGAAGAATGACTGACGCCGATAGGAAATCATATCGCTCTGTCTGCTATGCTTTCTTCGTTTAATATATTCCGTCTACACGTGGCAGTGTGTTCTCCTTCTCCAACTTTTACAACGCGGTTTTCCTCTTCGTCGCACCTACGGCTACGACCTTATGATGTTTTCTTTAAAGTCTTTATACGCGAGCGGTTAATCAGCATACTTAATTATTAAACGATGAATTATGTGCAAAAGATGCCTGGAAAAATATCTCTATAGAGATTTCTAAGAAAATTGCGATTTTCAAAAAATTTCCTATTTCTTTACCAATATTTCTGTTTCCATCGCAAAAATAAAAAAAAAAAGAAAAAAAAGAAAGAAGAATAAGTCCTGAAGATCATGAAGAAATCGAAAATTTCGATTTAGACTCGTATTAAAAGCATAATATTAAAGCGGTCATAAACAGCTACATAGGAAATTTTTTAAAAATCTTGAAAATTATATATTAATTTGAAAAACAGTTAAGAATAATCCTAACATTTCCAATACGTATTTGAGTTGGGAGGAAAATGCTAATTTATTATAAAGGATGCAATAAAGAAAATTATTTCATTGCTATTAAGATCCTTTAAATCTCGATAATTATCCATTATAATTTTCTATTATTTTTATTTAATTTATATTATTTTTTTATCATTTCTTTAGGCACTATGTATAAAAATGAAAATAATAACAAGCAAGAGCACATTCGTGCATTTCTATGCACCTTCATTGCAAATTCTTGGAATATGTAGATCATGCTGGCTACGAGTGGGAGACTTTAACCTGATGTTGAAAAGAGAAATTAAGAGAAAATAAATAACGATGCTGTCCAAAACGATACCGTAGACACATTGAATTATTGCAGCACTAATAACTTCTATCAATATGCATGGATCGACCACAAGCTAAATTGAATTTCAATTAAGGCTCATGAGATCGACTATATGAAACTCATCAAAGATTAAATTATTCCCATAATATCGATATTATATATTACAGATTTTCATGCTTTTTAGGCACTCAAATTACACTATCGAATTGACGATAAATAATGAATTGATACTTCACTACAAAATTAAGATGCTGGAATAAGATGTCATATATAATCAAGATTTTCTGTTAGGGAATAAATATCTACGAAAAGAAGAAACAATCGAAGCAATCAAGTGGCAAAAGAATAAACGGCATGCTACTATTTCTATTAAATTATTTGGTCAAATCGAAGGGAAAAAGGATAAATTTAGCGTTTTCGCGATTCCAACAATGATCGGGGAGATCTTGCATAGAATCCAACTCCCAATCCAAGTATAAGAAAAAAAAAAAAAATATATATATATATATATATATATATA